CAAGAGTGTCCCGGGGCAGGTGTGACGAGGCCTCGAGGACACGGCCAGGTGGGAAATGGCAGCCGGAGGACAGGTTGGGATGAGACCCAGGAGGCTCTGAAAAGCCACCCACGCCCCAGGCGTTAGCCGCGCACTCCGCAGCCGCGGCGGAGAGGTCACCCACGCCACCTCACGGACTCCAGCGACAGGTTCCCGGCCAGCAGCAGCCCCTGTCCTCACACCTGTCCGTCCGTCACCCTGACTCTGGCCCCTGGCCCCTGGCCCCATCTTCCTGCTCTGAGAGTCAACACAGCCCAGGACTCCCACCACGGAGCCCCACGTGACGTAGCGTGTGCCGGCTGCCCACGGCTGCCCACGGCTGCCCACGGCTGCCCTCGGAGGAGGACCCCAGCAGGCCACTCACACCTGGTTCACGTGCAGGCGAGCGGCGTGTCTCCCTCAAGGCATTTGTGGGCTTTCACGCCCAGGAGGCCTTTGTGTGAACGTCAGGGCGAGAGAGGACGTCACATCCTGTGTAGACGAGCTCCCCCGAGGGGAGGCGGAGGCCATGCCCAGGAGTGGAGCCGCGTCAGGGAGGGAGCAGGACGAGGGGGGCGCTGCCTCTCGGTGGCCTGTCACCTTCCCCTTGAGGACACTCTCCGAGGGGCTCCTGGGTGAGCAGCTGGCCGACACGGGAGGTCCGTGTGAGTGCGCTCAGGCCAGGAGTGTGGTGGAGACACGTGGCTGTGAGCGAGACCAGCCAGGCGCCACGTGGGAACACAGGCTCCTAATGAGACTCGAGGCGCGTGGAGCTGTGGTGGTGGAGGCCACGCGTCCGTGGGAGAGGCATACCGACGTGCGGCGGTGCCTGTGCCAGCTCGGGGACACGCCCCCCACCCGTGGGTCTGCCACGCCCACACCAGGTCAGTGCGGCGGCAGGAGCTCCCCTTCTGTGGCGCGAAGCCTGGGGTCCCTCCCTGTTGTGACGTCCATTCCCCAGGGCTCCCGGGGACAGCAGCCGCCACATACACACGCTCAGGGACGCCAGTGGCTACTCAGGCCTCGTGTTCCAGGGGCAGAGGGCACGTGTGGCGCTGGGTCCACACCCCTCCCTGTGGACGCGGGTGCTTTGGGCAGGCTCTGCAGGCCGGTGTCCTGGTGACGTCCTCTGCGCTTTGCCTCGAAGGGGGACAGGATCAAGTCAACGTTTTTTGTCACATCCCCAAAGCCTGAGCTCGGGCTGCTCAGCCTGAACAGCAGGGGACCCGCGGGGCCGACCGGTGGCCGTGCCCTGGGCTCTTCCATCCATGTCACTGCCTGCACGGCTGACCATGGCGCCCGTCACGCGGGACTGGCTCCCAACGTTCGCTGAGGGTGTCAGCCTTCCAGGAATAGGCGGGTTCCCAGGGGCCCTTGACCTTCTGGAGGGACGCAGTGGGTTTCCCAGAGGGGACCCCATGCATGTACACACAGTACGTTCACATATTTGTGCGAAGCCGCCTGCCCGGGGCCCCTGCCACGCACCCATCACCAGGCCCTGGAGTGTCCCGGGGCAGGTGTGACAAGGCCTCGAGGACACAACCAGGTGGGAAATTGGCAGCCTCCCCACTCCTCCGCCCAGATCCTCCGTCCCTGCGAACATGGGCACCACCCCTCCCCACCAGGCCCTGTGCTGAGTGCGGATCCAGCCCACCCTTTCCACCTGCCCCGGGCTTCCCAGCCCCACAGGTCCCGGGTCCTGGGCCGAGACGTCCTCCCTTGGGGGAAGCCCTGGCCCCATTTCTTTGTCGCGACCCTTGTGGCATCTGTAAGGACAACTGTGAGCGAGGGAGGCCAGTGAGGTGGCGCGTGCAGCTTGGAGGCCGCGGGGGGGCTGGAGGAGGCCTATGCAGAGCCGCTTTGCAGGTGAGATGCAGGTTGAGGTGCATCCGGGATGCAGAAGGTCCCAGTTTTGAGCCAAGCTCATCGGATCCAAGTCTGTGCTCTCCACGCCATGTGCTGGGCTCTCGAGGGCAGCCCGCCTGTCCGCACGTCCTCTCCACAGCTGCCCGGGAACCCTCCCTCCCCAGTTGAGCGCTGGCCGGCCTCTCGCCCTGAGCCCTGGTTACCTGGTGCCCCGAAGACCACCTGGATCGCCTGGGTCACTGATCTCATCAGTGGTCCCGTCACCTGTGTGGGGCCTGTGTCCTCCGTCACCCGGCAGACTCCTCTCCCTCCGGGCACAGCCTCGCCGGCCGCTGTCTCCTCTCTGAGATTCTGTTTTCATGGGCTTCCTGGCATGAGGTCACAGCACATGCATGTCACTACTGTGGACACAGTGACCAGGACAGGGCGAAGGCTCCTCCCAGACCAGCCCCCAGGCTGCAGGGTGATGGGCTTGTCCCTCCGCCACTTCTTCCTGTAACGATGCCTCTGTGCTTTGCGACAGGAAACGTTCCCATGTTGCACTCGGGAAGGTCGCTGTGCCGGTTACATTTTCTGATGCCTTGGCCACTCCTCCCTCTGCTGTGGGTCTGTCTCACTCCCACTGGCTCTGGGTCCCCTTGAACCTTCCAGGTAGTACGCACCCCTGCACCGTGCCCGCATGGCGCCCGCCTGGCGAGGCTTATCGGGGCCTCTGAGTCCTCAGGGCGGCTCAGGGAGTGCGCACTGGCCGACGGCAGCTTCTGGTCACAGTGGTCACCGTCCTGGAGCCTCTGCGCGTGAGGCCGTCGGAGTTCACGTGCCCTTTGAACACAGCTCTGGTCCGCTCACCACGTGCTGTGGCCTCAGTCCTGCAAACGGCCTGTGGGTCCAGAGCTGAGCGCTGAGCCCTGCCACCTGCGTGCAGAGGGTGAGGTGTTTTGCAAACATGCTTCGTGGGGCTCAGGTGTGTGGCGTCTCCAGGCCTCTCCACTCCAGGCGAGGGACAAGGCCTGGTGTGAGGACAGCCGTGGGGTGGGAAGAGCGCCTGAACCGGCCGGCAGAGTGGGCAGAAGGGCAGACGGCCAGGACCCTGAGTGAGGACAGACCCTCAAGGAAGGCCCGGCCCCCATAAGGGCCCACGTGGCGCATCCACGGTGCGCACACTCCCGCTCCGTCGCCAGGCTCCTGCCCAGGCCCGTGGGACCCCCGAGACAGTGCTGGCTCAGGAGACAGGCCTCGAGTCCGCGCTGCGCGTCCACATGGTGACGGGGGGCCGGGGTGGAGGTGCACTCGGCCTCTCGCTGCATCGGGGCTCGGAGTCGGAGACCTTCTGCAGGGACACCTCCCATTAGGCGTGGCAATGCCACGGCCACGTGAAGGCTAGGTCAGCGCGTGCGGCGCGTGCATTTCCCTGGAGAACTAACTGCCACGCGTGCGCTCACCGTGAGGCCACGCCACGGTTCTCCGTGGGAAGCGCAGTGCTTCCTTGTCCCGTGGAGCCTGAGGCCTCCTCGGCTGTAAGCGCGGCGGAAATCGACACGATGTGGACACCAGGAGCCTCGACGCCCTCCAGCCAGCGTGGCGGAGGCACACGGCCCAGCGCTGCAGCCACTGAAAACCTGACCTGTGGTTGAGTTTCCTTTTCTAAAAGGGACAAATATTGTTGAAAACAATTTAGTGGATTCACTATCCGGCCACACACGTCTGTGAGGAAGCGTGTAAAGGCAGGTGGCCCTGTCCCGGGCGTCCTCCACCCCTGGGGCCCCGGCAGAGGGGAGGGCGCAGTGGACCGTCCTCCATCCCTGGGGCAGAGCAAAGATGTGTGTGTCCAGCTCAGCGGCCGGACAGTGGGCTGCTGGTCTTGGCCTCATTGCAGGCTACCCCCCAGCCGCATGGTGCATCCGTCCCCACATCTGGTCCAAACGGCCCGGCATCCTGGGCTCCTGCTCGCAGACTCGGGCACCCCAAGACAGACGTCCCCCGGTGCACCCCAAAATGGACACACCGGTGACACCATAGCCTGTCGGAGCCTTAGGGCCTCTCCAGGCCCCACCTCCGGGCTCTGCAGTCAGACTTTTCAGTGAAAATGCGGTTTCCTGTGTCCCCCAAACCTACCCCCCACGAGATGGCGGCTGACGGTGAGGACTGAGGGGCGATGAGTCACCAGGTGGCCCCGTGACCAGATTGGTGCCCTTGTACTAGTGAAAGGGACCCAGAGGGCCCTCTCCCCTCTACCACGGCGGACAGAGTGGGAGGCCCTCCACCGGACTCCAGCCTCGGGAGCCTGTGGTGCTGTCACAGCCGCGGACACACTGGGACCTGCTGTCTGTGGTCCTCCGTCTCCATTGGCGTTAAGTAAACAAGTCAGGGCGTCCCCACAGAGGGAAGCGCTGAACCATCACAAAGACGGAGTCTGGGGCAATGAGGGGCCCAGTGCGTGTGCTCTGGCCGAACACGCGCCAGACAGGAGGGAGCCTGGCTGCGACCTGGCAGCGAGCGGACCCTGTGCCCGGAGGAGATGGCGGCGAGGAGGGCCGAGTTCTGAACGTCTCTCCTAATAAAACTGGGTTAATCCCGTGCCAGCGGCAGGACACGGCCACGGCACGCGTGTCCCGCTGAGGACGGCACGCTGGGGCGGGCGGAACAGGGAGCAGGTCCACCCTGCAGAGGCCGCTGGCGTGTCCTCACGGAGACTGCCCGGCCCCTGGGCCTCCTGCCAGGCCGAGCCCTGCGCCCTCCCTTCCGCCAGTGTCCCTGTGTGTCACGAGCAGCATGCGAGCGACATTCACTTACCCCGAGGATGCTGGCCAGACTGGGGGAGGGGCAAGTGCTGTCTGTTAGTTGGAGGTTAAGGAAGCAGCGCACAGTAGGCGCTAATGCATGCTATCCCCACCCGGTAGCCTCAGAACCTCTCGGGTCCGCTCGTGGGGCTGGCACTCAGGGCAGGAGCAGGGCACTGAGTCACACCGGCCACTCGCTCCGAGGCCCCAGCAGAGGAGCCCGCTGTGGGGCCACACCCTGCGTGTCGGCCGCGCAGCCAGGTAAGGGGCTCCCCGAGCCACTGTCATGACGCGACAGGAGCGCAGGCGGGGTCGCGGAGCGGGTTTGGGCCTTACCAGGACCATGTGGCCGGTCGAGATGTCCATGTTGGGCAGCGCCGGCTCCTCGGACCAGGACGAGGTGCTGCTCC